AATAAAATATATTTTTTTATAATTTGCTGCGACATGTTTGAGGCTCCAATTAACGTTAAAATCTTCCACCGAATCCAAAGATAAGACAAAAGTCCAACGGGTTTTAAACGCTAAGGACATTAATTCTTTTGTTTCAATGGTCAACACTTACGCATAAAAAAACAAAGACAACACGCAAGAGGATGCCTATGCCCAGCAGTGAGGCGTATTAACCATTACAGCCTTTTGAAGTCCACAGCTGAACATAGGCCTCCTCCATAGATTGGATATATGCCATAGTTATCACGCTGGGCCTGGGCAAGGGAAACCGCAGTTTTTTTTTTCAGTCGTTATTAGAAAAAACGCTGTTGCCCGTCTCCAGATTTGTTTCCCTTTGTCGCCTCTTACGACACCCACGGGATGATATAGGGTAGTGGATATCCTTACACCGCCTCTACACTGTATATGCGTATAAGGCTGTATCTTTATTTTACTTTTAACATCAAAAACTAAAAGATTTATTTTCGAAAAGGTACAAGAATTAGACAAACACTACAGACATTATAAAAAATAGACATTTGTTGCATGCATTCAGGTTCCTGATTATCAGATATCGCCTGGTCTGCCGTATCAATACTCGATTGCATTTGGCCACCATTTTTGTTTTTAGAACCCTTGGGTCTTTTTTTACAGAGTTTTCCTTTCTTTCCTTCTTCTCTTTCTGTCTATTTTCATGTGGGTAATTTTTATCGGGTTTCGAAATCATGTAAAAGTACGTTAGTATACTGAACGCTAAGCTACAAGGTGATATATACGCTTTAATTAGTATATAATCAAAGTGTATATATAGTGTATACGTATCGAAACCGGAAGCTGGGTCGCAAGCGGCCTTGTAGCCTGTCCAATCCAACACCTGATGACGTATATGAGCTATTAATATATTTAGATATGACCATTGAGCACAGCCTATTGTATAGTTCTTGCAATTCGCAAGTGCGGTTCACCTTTGGATGTGGTTCGACATGTACACGCACAGTGTGACAGTGTGCATATACACGTCGAACCACGTTTAAAGGTCGACCGCACTCGCGAATTGTAAGAACTACGAGTATAACAACAATGTGATCCACGCGAACACAATTTAAGAACTATATTATTATTTTTAATAATACTTTTTTCTTTATTTTCTCGCCTGTAGTAGTTCATTGAAGCTTTGCCTGACAAGCTCGTCTGTCGGATTGCTGATCGGAGTACCACAAGTGTTATTCCTTTGCCCCCCTTCGTCAGTGGGGATATTTAAGTTTTATATACGAGATAATATACCACAATCCATGAGAGGCCGCGAGATCTTTCCGATCCTTTCCATAATCGTTTCTTACGAAATCCACAGAATTTTTAAACGTGGAAAAGCCACGCTGCAGTTATTATTATAGGTGAAGCACGAGTGGTTTGGCTCGACCATAGAAGAGCTAGGCTCTCACAGAATACTAGCGTAAAATCGAAGCGTAATGCAGCTGTGTTTCGCATGAATATAGATAACCGGAGAGCCTTTTTACTGGAGATGAGACATTCTATCTTAGTCCTCAGAGGTGAAAACGCATCTTCATTTTAAATATTAATCGAGGATAAATGTAGATGTTTATGGACCACAGCATCCTTGTCTAGCGCAGATGACTAGTCTACGTAGAGACCGGCCGCCGTGACCGAATTTGGGTATGGAGGACATTATAGTATAACTAATGTTTTTTTTCAAAATGAGAGCTTCCAAGCTGATGTCACTTTCAACTCTTTATTAGATTTTCTATTATATTATGATTGTATTAAAAACTTTATCAGCTATTATTACGTTGAGTGTCGATATTATGTATTGATTGGAGATGTAACTTGGAGAGGTTGTTGCAAATTATTTTCGGTAGTAATATTTGCATTGCCTGTCGATCTGTCATATGAACATCTGCGTAATTGAGCGTATGTACGCTACCTCAGGTAGCGTACATACCTCAGGTAGCCTACCTGAACCAGTAGCGCGCTCGCAAACTCGGACTAAGTTATCAAGGGAACTACATTCAATAATATTTATAAGTAAATAAAATGATATCCTACACTAGGATTTTTTCCTATATCGTTGAGGGGGTTCACGTACATACATTTTGCTAGGACACCACATATACCCGGAACAATTTTAACAAAAACGTGTTTTATCAAACGAAAACGTTTCGAACGGACGAAAAGTAACACAAATGTAGACACATTCGATTAATTATACAACTGACAATTTACAAAGTTTTGAGATTTTACATGGTCAGATCTCTATGGAATTTCAAACGTAATAGAGATATTGAAGAAAATGAATTTTACGTACCTATTATATAGCGTTTAATTTTAACTTAACTTTTTTAATTTCAGAAGTTTCGGGCACTTGATAGCAACCCATTGCACGTTAAGTAACCCGTGATATGAAATAAAAATGAAATTCAAATAATGAAATTTTAATAAAAGTTAAATTTAAACGCGATAAAATTTAATTTAAGCAAGTTAAAATTAAATGCGATAAAATCCGTAAAATTAGTTTTATGTAATGAGCAACAATTATTGTAGAGATTATAATGCAATTTAGACTTTTGAATATCGGGTCACGTCATTGGAAGTGGAAGTTGAAATCTCATTTCTTGATTTATTTTGTTTGGAAGAACCCTAATAATCTTCCATAGGTCCACAATATCTGGCACACTACACCTACCCGTTATTACAAAATGAATTATCGAAATCACCCCGCAACATTTCATTTTTTTTACTTATTATAAACCAGTTAGTTAGTTAGGTATGTATTGGTATGCTCAAACTTTGGATAAAACAAGTTATTTACGAAGAATATATGCCGAATTGCGCATTACTGTGATGTAAATCTCGTTATAATATGGTTGTAGACGCTAAAACGCCATTATGTTTACCTTTATATTAAAATGATGCATATCTCCTTAATTTCAATCTCCTAACTTAAAGTATATATGAACTACCTATAACTATCCTAGAATCTCGACGAGGGGTCTCGGGATCTTCGTACAGAACGCAACCAGGGCATCGAATGCAATGTCCTTACTGCAGTCGATGATTGCCGCTCTCGTATCTGGTGTATCCATGAACTTTTTCGCATCCGACAAGACGCGTATATCACCTTTCATAGTTGTTAACGGGACGTTCACAGCTCGTCAATTCAGGGCAAAATCATTTGGAGTAGCTGTTTCTACACCACCCACGCACTAAGTACATGCTGTTGACAGAATTGACGAATGACTCAAATGACCATGAGTGACCACACTTGTAAACAACTATAGACTCCGACTTCTGGACAGACTGACTAAACGGATTCGATACCCGTTGTACGTAAATATTTGTGTAAATAATATCACCAATGTTTATAAATAGACCGGAGACCGGAGCAGCGTCCAAGGTGCGAGACTCTGAGATTGTCAATCGCCTTGACAACTAAAGATTTGAATGTACATACTGACATTTATTTCGTAACAATTTTTTTAAATGGTAGTGACGATCGACACGTGAATTCTGCCAACACGCCCTTCCGCAGAGTGACAGACTAATCCGTTGCATAACCTTCCCAAAATGAGAAGAGGTCTGCACCCAGCATCAATTTTATTTTGTTATAGAATAACGTTGATAAACGAACATACAGTTCAATTGAAAGTAAGCGGATGCCCATAGATATTGAAATTTACCCTCAACTAAGAATCGAAATGTATTCTATCGTATACGTAGTCACCCCTGAGGGCTAAGATGGAATGTCTAGTTTCCAGTAAAAAGTATCTCCGCTTCTCTACACTCACCATACGAAACGTAGCAGCACTCTGATATTTAACTCTGGTATTCTGTGGGAGCGTGGTCCTTCCCCGGTCGATCCGACCCGTTCGTGCTACAGCCATAACATAGCTGCAGTATGGCTCTACCATGTAAGAGGTAAGGAGTAACGTATTGTTACGTTTTTCTACATAAAACTCATTAATAAATCAACACTTAACAACAATGAGATTTAAAATTAAAAAAATATAGGAACTTTTTGCAAATGGTCATCGAAAAAAAAACTGGTAAAACTGGCACGCAACCAACCAGCGAGAAATAAAAAACGGCCTTGAAATCTTATAACTCTCGCATATTCAATGGATTTTGATACGTAAGAGTGGTGCGATTTTGTGTATTAAATGACTGCGCATGTGAGCTATTAATGGAAACAACGAAACAAGTGCTTTGCTCATGACGAAAACTTCAAGTTGTTGTCTACTTAGCTGCTTCGAGGTGCCATCGTCATCAACTGTCTTCTGACTCGAGCTGTCGTTAAAATCTTTTTTTAAAGCATAAGTGTGACCAACGAGCACAAAGTCTACGTCTAAGTGGTTGCTGTGACCCATAGAAATCTACATCTACCCTCGATTACGAATCAATATGCAGATGCGTTGTCACCCGTGAGGGGACTAAGATGGAATGCCTCGTTTCCAGTAAAAACGGTCTCCGTTTCTATGCACTCACCATACGAAACACAGCAGCATTAAGTTACTATTTGACGCTGGTATTCTGTGAGAGCGTGGTCCTTCCCCAGTCGAGTCGACCCATTCGTGCTACAACTATACTACCTACTAATATAACTGCAGCATGGCTCTACCACGTATAAAATTTGTGTTTGTGTATCGGAAATTTAATGTGTAAATCATAAATAATTAATAAAAAACTTACCTATCACAGGTTGGGGGCAGGTTACTCCTGTCCGCCCCCACAATCGCCACCAGGGCCACGACAAGTAAACACCATGTATTCACCATTGTCAATCACTTAATGGCACGTCACTAAACTAACTTAGCAGCTAATATCACTCAATTAAACTATAAATAAATAGAGGAACAAGAGATTTCACTAACTAATGCTAGGTCACTTTAAAAGTTTTGAGGACTTTGGTTTCTCTGCTAATTGTGAATAAGGTCCGAAATTACGTGTTCAAGTACGTGTTAAGTATTTTAAAAGGCTTCCTTCTGAAGGGTTGGCTGGTCATTTTGGGTGGTATGGCGACGGTGAGAGCTCCACGGTAAACGGCACTCGCGTGCCGAACTGCATCTGTAACAGAAAATCGAAATTTAAGATAGATGTTTGATATATCTTTTATAATATCTTCTTCAATTTTCTATATCTTTTAAAAACACAATCATAATACACATAAATATAAACCGCTCGATCCAGTCGACCCAAACGTCGCGGGCACATCACACAATGTCACTACACCCACACTAAATGGGACAAACACTGTTAGGATTACGAATGGGGCGCGTCGCACTCGTAGCCCGTCTACGACGCGTTCCAACATACATCGCGTACACACCGTACACCCGCGTTCCTGGGCGGTTCTCACCGCCCAGACCATCGACCAACATGAGCTTAGCAGTCAGAGACGGGGGTCCGTACTCCCCCCCTCGGACAGCGGTTAGATAGCTCAAATACGCCTAAAAAGGCGACATGATGATCGGTAACAATACCAAATCATAAACCATTCATCATCATCCTCACGTCATTGCCTTTCCCTTTTTAATTATCCCTGAGTCCGATGAAACTGTAGAGTCGCATATACTAACAGCGCTAACATCCAGAAACTAGACAACAGAAATATAAAAACTAATTTGAGATATGCTAGCTCATGCAGACGGGTTGTCACTCCGAAGGACTAAGATGGAATGCCTCGTTTCCAGTAAAAAGAGCCTTCAAGCTGTTATTTTACGCTGATATATTGTGAAAGCGTGTTCTAACCCCCGTCGAGCCGACCCATTCGTGATACAACTATAATATAGCTGCAATAACTCTTCTCTCTTAGCTGTTAGTTTAGTTCTACCGCGGACTTTTTTTTATAGAACAAGAGTAACAAACGAGTACACAGTCCACCTGATGGTTAGTGGGTGCTGTGGCCCATAGGCATCTAAATTTATCCCTGTTTAAAAATACGAAAATTCAGATGCGTTGTCACCCGTGAGGACTAAGATGGAAGAAAGGTTCTCCGGTTCTCTACACTCACCATACGAAAAACGGCAGCATTAAGCTTCTATTTTGACGCTGGTATTCTGTATGAGCGTGGCCCTTCCCCGGTCGAGCCGACCCATTCACGCTACAACCATAACATAGCTGCTGACAAAGATGATATCTTTGGCTGCAGCATGGCTCTACCACGTTAAAACATTCTATAACTAAAATAAACTCCGAGCACAAGTGATGATGAAGATATATATATATATATATATATATATATATATATATATATATATATATATATATATACAACATGTAACATAATTAATGCACTTTGAGAAAGTAGTTTGTTCAGAATCGTTTACTGAATCGATTCCTATCATTATAATATAGGTAATTTTTTATCCCAAAAATAATTAAAACCACGTAAATTACAGTCACACTAAATCTGTACAGTCAAAACAAAATGAAATGGACCGTAACTTAAGGCAATAAGACTTTTAAGAGTGCAGTTTTATTTGTATTATTACTAATTCTGTCATTTAATAAAAATAAAGAAAAATGAACTGTATTTCAAGCACGTTAAAGTCTTTGCATTCGTGTTTCTTTTCAATCGATTTGTACTGTGACCACAACATTCTTCCGGAATTAGTATAACTAATTTGATAAATAATCGGTGCATAAAAATGTTTAACTAAAAATTCAGTGTATGTATTATGATTATAACATAATATACTAATTGGGGTGTCTGAGGGTGTGCGTTAATTATGTTAAATATTGTATATATATATACACACATCTTGCATTAAATAAAAACGACATAGCAAGCGGAAAACGATACGAACGTTACCTACATTACAGAAAACTGATTAGGTCGCCGTAATAAAAATATATTTCGCTGATAATGCAAAACCATTCCAAGAAATAAGACCATTTAATAAAAATTAGCAAAGTAAAAAATAGCTTTAGTTGCCGTATTGCGGTAACGTAAGCCGACCGCCATACAACGAGCTTATACAAGTTAAGTTTTTACAATCGATAACGCTGGTGATAAACTATGAAAATATATTACCTCAATGTAGAAATGACATATTTATCTTCACGTTCACTTTTATAACATTAAATTTTGAAGCCGGCTAAAAATTAAAAATTCGGCTAATGCGAGTCGGACTCGCGCATGAAGGGTTCCGTACAATCGTAAAAACACGTTTTCTAGTATGGTAGTTCCCTTTAATTTTTAATTAATTTTTTATTATTTGTTGTTATAGCGGTAAAAGAAATACAAATTCTGTGATACTTTCAATTGTCTACCTATTACGGATCATGAGATACAGCCCTCTGACAGATAGACGGACGGACGGATAGCGATGGTTTACGATAGGGTTCAGTTGGTTACCCTTTGGGTACGGAACCCTAAAAAGCGAATAAACACGACAAGAATTTTTGTAATCATAATATGTATATACTACGTACGTCATATTGTAATCAACTGTGAAGGGATTTCAATGTTTTTTTTTAATTTGCAAACGTATACCTCAAAAGACCCAATAAAGTTTTATGGATGTTCACTGATTTTTCGGAATCGACTGAAAAGATTTTAATTATATTTCTTTTAATAAAAAGGTTATAGGTATTGCTCATGTAAATTCTAAGAAAAATATCCACCCCTCAGGATGGAAAAATACGTGACAAACTTGTTACGTAAATGTTCTGGAAGACGTTTTAGTTGTTACTTTGTACTTGTGATATTACTTAGTTTTTTTTAATAGAATAAAGGAGACAAACGAGCACACAGTCCACCTGATGGTAAGTGGATGCTGTGGCCCATAGACATCTACATTTATCCTTGATTAAGAATCAAAAGGCAGATGAGTTGTCACCCCTGAGTACTAAGATGGAATGCCTCGTTTCCAGTAAAAAAGGGTCTCCTGTTCTCTACACTTACATACGAAACACAGCAGTGTTAAGCAGCTATTTTACGCTGGCATTCTGTGAGATCGTGGTCTTTCCCCCATTCGTGCTACAACCACATAATATAGCTGCAGCATGTCTCTACCACCTGAAATTATGTGTATCTAGTAGGTACATATAATAATATATATTTATATATAGATTTCTTCTTACGAATTCTTTTAATATCCCGAAGTCGTTTCTATACCATTCATCCGATTACGATGAATTTTTGATGAGTTGTTGTGTGCACGTCCGCAAATATTTATGATAAAGAAGGTATTACAAAGTATGCCTACATTCCTTTAATAGCTTAGTAGTGATGCAACCAACACTACTTTTACGAATACGAATATCTCGCCATGGTAATGAAAAACTAATTTAATTTGAAGATTTTATATTGTTCTAATAATTAAAATTTACAACAGGTAATTTATTATTTAAAAAACCTAAAATTTGTAGATTTTTTGGTCTTGTTATAATGTTGATTCTTTGCTTAGCTCTTTAGTAGCTTTTTCAAAATTGGCCAGAATATCAATAATTTGGATAATAAGAGCCCATTGCCTTGCTGTGATTTTGTGACGACAATTTGGTAGAGATGGTAAAACATCTTGGATTGCTATTCGTTGTTCATGTAATCTCTTCAACATCTGGTATGTTGAGTCCCATCTAGTTTCAACATCTTTAAAATATGTTTCGGTATATTGTTAGCTTGTTGAGGATCTTTCAGTTATTGAGTGTTAAAATGAGTAATAACTAATAACTCCACTGTCCTTATGTAGCCGTCGCTGTGGCTTTTGGCCTATGCACACGTCTAATTTTAAAATTAAGAAAAAAAAAAAAAACCCCCCCCTCTTTTTTTTTTTTGTAATTAGAGTTACGTAGAAAAATATTAGTTTTTAAATATTCGTGATTAGTATTCACCGAATACGAATATTCGGTAAATGTCTACTATTCGGCGAATACGAATATTCGTGTTCGTATTCGTTGCAACACTACTTCGTAGTAAAGCGGTAGTTATGAAACGTCAACGTCGTTGATTACTGAACTCTCGAGTGACCTTCCATCACCTGTATACGTTGCCTCCGACAATTGGCTGCATTGAAACAGTTTCCTGTTATAATGTCAGATGACACGTACTTACACGTATGCACGATTGAAAATAAACGCTTAGAAATAAAATCGGATCCTTAACGCTGTCATTATAAGGTTGGAAATCGCGTGAATACTTACGAAGAGACCCTTCGATGACTAGAAGGTAGCACATCTTATCAACGAACGGAAATTTGTCGACCAATGTGGATTGACTTGCGACGCTGAGGTCCGCGGGTTCGAATCTCGCACGGAACAAAAATTTGATCCGTCTGAATTTTTGTCCTTATGCAATTTACATTGGTAAGCTAATAATGTAATGGCAAATCCGTCGTCAAAAAAGGAACAACTTATCATTTGGCCACTATTTACATGTACATAAGCGTGACAAAGGAGCACACAGTCCATCTGATGGTAAGTGGACGCTGTAGCTCATAGAAATCTACATCTGTCCTCGATTAAATATCAAGTCACCTCTGAGGACGAATATGGAATAAAAAGGGTCTCCGGATTTCAATATATGTACACAAGAAGTTATTCTTCTTTTTTCTGTATGTTCCAAATAGAAGTTTCTTCCCTTCTTAACGTATTTTATATTCATTTTATCATGGACGTATCCAATACTACCTCGCATTTCTGCTTTCAGAAAATTTCTCAAAGTGCACTCACAGATGCAAAATGAACCAGCGGGCATCCGTTCTTGCGACCCAGTTGCTTTGCACGTATCAATTGAAAGATTGTCTCAACTTGGAGCAACCTTGATCAATGCTTTCTTAACTATTAAGAAGGTAATTTTAACACGTGGTAAATCAGCACTAAAAATTAATAATTTCATTAATGTTGTCACGAATCGAACTTTTTTTATAGACATAGGGTGACAAGCGAGCACACAGTAAACCTGATGGTAAGTGGATGCTGTGGCTTATAGAAATTTACATCTATCCTCGATTAAGAATCAAAACGCAGATGCGTTGTCACCCCCGAGGACTAAGATGGAATGCCTCGATTCCAGTAAAACAGGTCCCCGGTTCTCTACACTCACCATACGTAACACAGCAACA